GGCGGCGAGGACGACCGCCTTCAGCAGCAGCAGCCGCGGTAGCGGCGGCAGTGGTAGCGGCAGCGGCAGCGTCTGCGACAGAGGCAGCAACAGCGGCAGCGACAGCGGCATCAACAGCGGCAGCGACAGCGGCAGCGGCAGCGGCAGCGATAGCTACAGCGACAGCGAGACGGATCTCCTGGCGGTCCGCGGGCCAGAGGCCCGGCGGCTCGCCCGCTTCGACAAGCCGGCGGAACTCACCAGCCGCCGCACCAGAGAGAACCCTCGCAGAAACCCGAGGTACGAGTCGCCCCCGTCGCCGACAAGTGCCGAAGCCCTGCTCGCCTCGGTGGTGAGCCTGCCCGTCAGCAGCAAGGAGGAGTTCACCCGCTGGATGCTCTCGGCGGTACTCCGCGTGGCGGAGGGGCTAGAGGCGAGGGTGGTGCGAGAGTTGCTGTTCGAGCGCGCGGAGGAGGCCCACGCTGCGCGCCAAAAAGCGGAGGACTTCCTGCTGGGTGCGGTGGACCTCATGCTCAACTCGCTAGACGCCTTCGAGACGGTTCTGGCGTCCCACGAGCTAAGACCGAAGCGAGATGATGAGAAGGGAGGGGAGTGGCCGGTGAGGGAAGCCATCGGCAGCATGATGTGGGTGTCGACGTTCTCGCGTCCAGACGTATCGTTCGCCGTGCGTGCGGTAGCGCGCCACGCCCACGCCCCGGTGAAGAGGCACTGGGATGAAATACAGAAGATCCTCGGCTACCTAAAGCAGACGAGGGACCTCGGCATCACCTACCAACGGGGATCGGGGTTAGGGCTGGCCGTGTACGTAGACGCTAGCTACACCGACACGGACGATAGGCGTTTGGTGTCAGGGTTGGCAGCGACGGTTGGAGGTACCGTAGTCAGCCATGGTAGCAAGACACAAGAGCATCGTGTCTTTGTCTTCGACGGAAGCCGAGTACATTGCTGCCGGGGAGGGCGTCAAGGAGGCGTTGTTTGTGCGTGCTGTGCTTTCGTTTGTTGCCCCAGAGACCAGTGGTTTCAGCATCCAGGTCCTTGAGGACAACCAGGGGGCCATGCCGGAGTAGCTGTAGCTGGTTTTAGCACTTGCATTGGGCTATCTAATAAGTGCGGCCGTTGTGATCCGCTGTGATAGCGACGTTTTTTTGTGGTGGTAGGTTTTTTTTCGAGGGGTTTTGCCCGGACGCCGGGTTTCCCCGCCACAATTACCATGTTGGTATTTCTGATGTATCCAGGGGCGTTCTTGCCCCATTGATGGTTAGTCAGTTGCGTGAAGAACCAGGGAGGGTGTTCGTGGGTCTGCGAACATTGGTGTTGGATGCATGTGCTGTATGATTTGGTGTTACGCAAATTGGTAAGATTGCCGTTTGGTTGGGGGCACCGTGATGAGTCACGGGGTCCCTCCTTGCTGACAGAGCAGCTGTGTGGAGCACTCCCTCTTTCGTCCGAGTGAAGGACGGTCGCCTACCTCTCGTGAAGTTAATACATCACCGAAACAGTCTCACTCGATAAATAAGTGGCGTAGGCCGCAAGAACAACCAAGATACTGCTGCTGTATGCATAGGATACGTTGTCAAGTCACGGCCCATTCTTTGGGCGGCAATCACAGTATGCAACCCTTTAGTAAGTGCACCAGTCGTAGCGTAGCTTGTCGAGGCTCAGCTGTGTATGGCTACCCGAGCTTGGACATATTCTTGAGCAGTACATACTGTACTGACTACCGATAGGCACATGGAGAGCAATCTTCTGTGACAGCGACGACGCAACAACAATGCACGCCCTCCAGCAGTGTATGTTTGCTGCTACATACTGCTGACCATCAACAATGCAAACTGCTAAGGCTGACCACTAGGCTTAAGTCTAACATCATAAAACCCATACAAGAGAGAGAGAGGTGAATATGACCACACCAAATCCTGGACCTTTTTTTTGTAGCCCCCACTTGCCTCGGGGCCAGTTTATTTGAGTGTACCTTTTTAGGGTAAGTTAACCTGTGACCACGGGAATCGACCGCGTCGAGTGTTGCATCAGTACGGACATACGAAGGTACTGGGTAGATAGAGATCGGAACAATTTTTAATGTGAAGACAACAACAACAACAACAACAACAACAACAACAATACGTAGGGGTCCAACAATATGAAATTAAATTATTTCGCGCGAAGCGCGAAATGAAGGGTCGGAGAGAGACATCAAAGCAAGCGCAGATAGATATGGACGGAGCCTACCCCACCACGTAGGTCACCAGTGCGCACGCTCACACCTCACCCGGTACCACCATTCAGTCAGGGGATGAATGGGAGCGCTGTTTAGCTCTCATCATCATCAGCTCAGCGGCAGCAGTGCTGCTGCTGCTGCTGCTGCTGTGCTGCTGCTGCTGCTGCTGCTGCTGTGCTGCTGCTGCTGTTGTTGCCGCCGCTGCTGCTGCTGCTGCTGTGCATGGGTGCGCACTTGCTTTCTTCGCTTTTACTACAAGTAGAGGGCAACGGGCTCTAAAAATTGGCCCGGACCCCACGACGTGTGTATTTGGTCGCCCTTGGCTTACAGCGCTGTGTACGTCTCACTTGTCTCTGTCTCTGGGTGCGTCTGTTGTGGAAGCAAAGATCGGCCGGCAGACGAGGAGACCGCAGACAGAGATCTGACTTGCGTGCACTACTCGCATGTTGCCTCGCTGACGCTGCTAGCAGTAGGCCTCGGGGTCTAAAAATATCTTCCGACGCCAGCCATGATGTGTGCCTTTGGCCGGCCTTGGCCTACAGCAGTGTGTAGGCCTCGTTTTCTCTGTTGTGGGGATGCGTCTGTGCGGGAAGCTCCAAAGAAAGATCGATCGGTAGGTTGAGGGTGATGATGCAGACGGACCGCGGATTGACCTGCGTCGTCACTCGCTTGTGCTGCCGACAACAGGCAACGGGCTGCAAGAGTCATACCCAACGCCTCCCATGATGTATGCCTTTGGCTGCCCTTGGCCTACAGCAGTCCGTATGCTGCTGTGCTGGTTGTATCGTATGTTGTCTACTTGATGTGTGTACCATGGTATGGTGTATGGCTGCTGTGCAAGAGGAGTACGGTTATTCTGCCGAGAGCGTCGTGCCCATCGCCCAATCATCTGTCTCTGTCTTACAAAACGTTTTACAAAATCCACGGGTGATTGGTGGGAGATGAGCATCTACCCGGCTCTACTCCTCTAAAACTTAGATAATTGTTAGAAGTTCTTCCGTATCTTACAATGCCCTATTTATGGGTGCTCTGCCTTCTGTTTTGATTTTTTAAACCTTTTGAGCAGCAGTCACATGCACGGCGGTGCAGTTCCGTGTTTAGTGTTTAGAGATCACCGCGCTTTTTAGAAAGTACACAGAACCTCATAGAAAGACCACCCGTTCGAGACATACATGCCACAGTCGCAGGGGATGTGTTGAAGTCTTTACAGTGAGAGGCAAGAAACCGGCTGGACTGGGCTTATTTAGAGTCTGTGTAAGCCTAGACACTGCTGTCTGACATTTTATCCGTGATGCCAGCAAGTGCTACAAATGACGAACGCTTTTCAATAACACCCCGAGCAGCAGCATCACAACCAACCGCGATGACTGCGACTACTGTCAAACTACTAGCTAGGTAGGCATACCCTTTATAGGCATCATTCCTCATCCAATGTAAAAGATATGTTCCCTGCTCTCCGTTTGAAGGTGGGTGGTTTTTCGGAGAGCGGCAGCGGAGGGGAAGCGGCGCAGCGGACGAAGAAAGCGGCGGGCATGACAAACAACCTCAGAAAAAAAGCCACACACACACACACACGAATCGATCACCGAAAGACTTGCTACCAGATTCGAGATGCGTAGTCACTCAGTCGAACAAGGGGTTTATGTGTTGAAGCCTAGAGCAGCAGCGAGTGAGTGGGGTGGGAAAGGAACCTGCCGGCAGGAAACAGACGGGAAGGATCTCTTCTTATTCCACCACCTTGCGCACAAACAAACGGTCAAACGGTCAACGGCTCTTTTTGTTCGAAATACGTTCTTGACAGAATATTCATGACATGTATGCGCGGGTGAACTATGCGGTTTTTTTTTTTTTGTTACGTAGCTTCAAATCAGCTCTCACTGCACTAGCGCCGTCTACACTCCAACCCGTACTGTAGTAGTCACACAGAAGCCCCTCTCTACCCTACCCTCCTGCGGTACTTTGCCTCCGATTTTTAATGCGGGAAGAGTTCAGCACTCTCTTCCCTCTGTGTCCACACGAACTAGCGCTATCCACTAAGCCAAGAGCGGAAACGAGAGAAAAACTCACTTTGCAAGAAAAGCTCACTTGCGCCGGGATTCGGACCCCTGACCTGACTGACCTCCAGAAGGTTTCGGGGGTACCAATCAGACCACCAGGGCTATTGCGATCTTGTGAAATAGTGATCAGCAGCCGTTGACTGCCAAGTGGTGTGCAGCAGCAACCAACCGAGAGAGAAGAAGCTAGACCACATGATGTCGCCACGCAATCGACAAAAGCAGTAAAGAGGGGGAATTACAGGGGGAATTACAGCAGCAGTAGTGCGTATAGACTAATCCCCGCTAGCTTGTTGCGGCCGGGGGTTTGGGCGTGTTTGTGATTATTCATGCATGCGCTGTTCGCTTGCTCTCGAATAACTCATCGTCATGCCGAAAATCTGGGAAAATCTCGCCCGACAGCTCACGCCCGCCCCAAAACACCCGTTGGATGCCGATGAAGATTCTTGTACGAAAGTTTGCGAACATTGTACGACATCGTCATCAAGCAAAAGTAGCTCCGACAGCCAGCTCGGCAAATAATCAGGTGATTTTCACCACCTCTCACCCCCAACCCACAGCCCCCACCACCACACAACCAACCACCTCCCTCCTTCTCCGATATCCAACATCTACGTCTCCAAGCAGCAGGTGCAGTACTCCCCCTCCCCTCCTGCCGTGTTCAGGCTGTGATGCACACTCCCACATGCATGCGTATGGGATTTTGCCCTCTCATTGCATGGCAACACTAACAAATTGGTGATTTCGTGCATTTGTAGCTTTACTTTGTAGCTGCTCCTGCCCATGGAGAGCATCTCAGAGAACATAACGATCGGATGAATGAGAGGATGATTTTGGTTGGAATACAACAGATCTCATGGGCAGCGGAACTTTCAGCCTTCAAAATGCACGGCTCACAGGCGCAGCAGTGAGTGGTGGTTCTCCGGACTGTGTACGCTGCTGCGGGGGCAATGCTCCAACAAGAACGAGACTCCTGAATCCGTAGTCCCTCATGTCTCCCATGTTTCCTTCCCCTCTTTGTCTGATGCATCGTCGTCGTGGTCTCATTTTTGGCCTACTGAATTTTTTCCTCCTTTTGCTTTTCTTGCGCATGGACGCGTTGCAGCAACACAGGATGCCGCGCCTTTCGCTCACGTTCTTCACTGGCCTGGTGGCTCTGCAGTCCGCGGCAGGTGCCTCTCTCCGCTCCAGCAACGGTGAGGCTTTTGTTTATACCCGTTTTTGTATCGGGCGGGCAAACGCGACAGCAGCTTTCTGACCCGAGATCGATTGCGACCACCCCGCAGTTTTCTGGCGCTTGGATCCAACTCAAATATTCACACATTCCGACGGACCGAGGCGCTTTCGTGGGCGAGCGTGCCACGCGCATGAGAGGCGCCGACTGCTGTAGCGTATACTGGATCCAACAACGTTGAGGCTTTTGACCGAATGTTGTCTTGTGAATCGGGTAGGGGAGCTAATGCAATGTTTTGGCACGTGCTTTCATCTGCGCATGGAAATCTAGCCGAAAATGAACGCAGAGAATATTCATCGAACAGCCAGCCGTGAGTTCATCGCATGCCTCGGCCGTGCCATCAGCGGATGATCCGGGGGGGAATTATTTTTCAAATTCCGCCTGTCGACCAGTCCTTGACGGCCAGACCACAACCTTCTTTTGCCACTTTAATTCGTCCGACAGTCGGCAATCTTCCTCGATAATGACGAAAAATATATGTTGGGGAAAAAGTGTGCAAGAACAAAGGATGAATGTGTCTTTACAGTGCGTACAGTCGCTGATGATGTGCTTTTTTTCTTGGATGTGGGCGTCACAAGCTGTAGCCTAATCGTCCCCCAAGTGTTGGTGTTGCCCCCCGTCAATAGTGCGAGCCTCACGTCTGTTTCTGACTGTCCCACTAACTCACATTTATTTTACGTGTAATACAACAACGCACATGTGTTTGTATATCGTCGCCCTCTTCCCCGTCGCACATTTGATGGCTTGATGAAGGTGCTGCGGCAGCCGACGGCCGGCGCCTTCAGGTACGGAGCGGAGAGAGGGGAGTTCCTCCATAGTAGGGTACATCCCCAACTGCTGTTTCTTGTCAACCTTTGGTTAGGAGGCTTCGTCAGATGTGGAGAAACAATTTTGTTATTGCGGCCGTATCGTCTGGTTTGCAATCTGCGCTTGTGAGGACAAAATAATAGTAGAGTTCACCGCCCCTCCCTGAACGACGAGTAACGTACATGTCGGTCTTTCTTTGCGGGAGGGTCCACGTGAATTCCTCAAGCAAAGCGATGCTTGTGAGGCCGACTTCCGGTAACGGAGGAAAGCGGCGCTGAAAAATAGCGCTATTATTTCCTGTTTAGTCTGGTGTAGTCGGGCGTGCTCGAGTCAATTTCTCGGATTTACGCCTGTTCTCACACCCATCCCCTCCCACCGCACCCCACAACCTTATCTCCCGCACTACAGGAGGGGCTCTGCAACTCGATCGGCTGCCCGGGCGGATACACCCCCATCCCCAACGCCTGGGAGGTTGAGTGCGGCGACTCGTGCGATGTCGCTACGTGCTGCGAAGCCTTCTGCAGCTACCACGCGTGCCCCGACAGCTACATCCCAATCGAGGACGCCGGCACGACCCGTTGCGACAACGACAACTGCACCACCGAGCAGTGTTGCGTTTCTGGTGAGGCATGAGTCGCGGCGTTTACTCTCAGGTTGTTGACTCCCTTTCCTCCAGTCACCCCGGCCTCACTGCAGTACTGTACTTGATGCACAGTTCGTCCGGTTAGCGGCATGTATACGAAGACCGCGGTCAGTGGAACAAATGGGTACGCGCCCCCTCCTCCCGCCGGGGTTCCCCTTGAGTGGCGGCTGAACAACCGAGGTATTGAAGCACTCCAACAATCCTCAATGCCGACCTGGATATTTCGCTCTGTATAGGTAACACGGGAGAGGGCCAGCCCCCGGTAGGCGTGGTGTACTGCAACTCGATCGGCTGCCCGGGCGGATACACCCCCATCCCCAACGCCTGGGAGGTGGAGTGCTCTGGCGACTCGTGCGAGGTCTCCCAGTGCTGCGAGGCCTACTGCAGCTACTACGCGTGCCCCGACAGCTACATCCCCATCGAGGACGCCGGCACGACCCGTTGCACCAACGACGACTGCACCAGCGAGCAGTGCTGCGTTTCTGGTAAGGCCCCCTTTGTGGCGTTTGCTGTTGCTGTCGACCCCGCCTCGTGATTGTAGGTTGCACAGTTCATCCGGAGGTCGTTTGCGGTGGTTACCTCTAGGAAGGATTTTGCAGCTGTATTGCAGTGAAAAAGCAACGAAAGTGATGGCTGTAAACGGTAGGCACAAGAGCTCCTCAACAAACACGTTTTAAGGACGACCTTTTGAGTTGACACGACGGCGTCTCTTATCAGGGGTAAGAAAGATCCTGACACTGGTGAAAGGGTTGGTCAGTGGAACGGAAGGGCACCCCGCGCCCCTTACTTCCATGCCCACTACCAATCCTCACTGATGACCTCACCATTTCTGTGGATCGCGTGTTGACAGGCAACACGGGAGAGGGCCAGCCCCCGGTAGGCGTGGTGTACTGCAACTCGATCGGCTGCCCGGGCGGATACACCCCCATCCCCAACGCCTGGGAGGTGGAGTGCTCCGGCGACTGCGATGTCGGCCAGTGCTGCGAGGCCTACTGCAGCTACCACGCGTGCCCCGACAACTACATCCCCATCGAGGACGCCGGCACGACCCGTTGCACCAACGACGACTGCACCACCGAAGAGTGCTGCGTGTTCCACTAAGGGACGGCAGTCGGCGGCCTCGTTCGCGCCATGGTCGTACAGGCACCGTAACGACCACGTAGTACGTGTACTACCGAATGTCAACACTACTCTGTAATCCGGTCATCTTGTAGTAGCGTTTAGAAGGCTTTGGCGTGGATTTGTCCGTGTTCGTTGCCCTGTTCTCTGGACGTGACGTGAAACCTCGGTGTGATGTGGTGATGTGGTGGCTGGCGCAGATCGTCTGCGGGAGAACGATAGTAGTGATGTCGGGTGAGTTTCAGCAGGGATGGAACGGGACGCCATGCCGGCACAAATTTTATTTTGGTTATCTGGTTGTTCGTGGATATAGAAAAGCTTCTTTCTCTTTACATTATTTGCACGTGATACCGCTGTGACGTTGTTGGGTGGTAAGCGAAGATTTTGTGGGAGAAAGAGAACCCATTAGTGGAAGTGACGATGAGCTTCAGCAGGGATCAAGACACCCATGCCTGCCTCTTGTTGGCCTAGATTTTTCGTGTTGTTGGACACCAAAAAACCTGCACGCATGCTTGCTTTGTATCCTGAGCTTCCTTGGAAAAGCAGTGATCCCACCTGCAATTTGAAGACGAGATGAGTCACGATAGAAACTTTTGGTCGAGTTTTTTTTTTTCTCTTGTGACCCGGATAGGGTTAGGGTTGTGTCTTCTCCAGATGCCGCAAGGTGAAATTAATACAAAAACGTCCAGAACAACGGGAACAGCGCACGTGGAACGTGGGCCCGGCTCGTGACCGTGTCCACGGATAGATAACCGCCTACCCGATCGAACAGACAGCTTCACCCATCTAGAAATGAAAATCGAGTGAAATTGCCCCGGCAATGTCCTTGCAAGCATCCAACAACGTTACGTACGTACGTGCGTGCCTCGACGAAGACTGACTGTTCATTCGCTCGTTCGGTGCGCTGCGCAGCTTGGCCGGTTGGGTGTAGCGTGTTCAAAACGGTTAGTCGAGATCCGACCTTCCATCACGTACGTATGTTTGCTTGCTGCTGATGCGGTGTGTGTGGTGATCCGTTACAAGGCATACATGCAGTAGTTCTGTAAGCGTCAGCTTCTCAGGACCAATATCCGTGGGTGGAAGTTTCATTCGACTCCTCCACCCCTTGCCCGCCCCGGCCCGAAATGCTGATCTCGAGCTACAATCCAAATCTTGCGGAGGCTCGAGTATGGCGCGGTGGGGAATAATCGCAGATCATCAACCTCCCCCAGTTAGACGAGCTTCCGCATCCTGTGGCCAACAAGCGGCGGCCTTGTCTGTGTCGCCACCCGAACGGGGCGGTTGAACAAGCAAAGAGCGTCCGTCCGGTGCTGCATCACGTTTGATTTTTTTTCTTGCTCGAGTGATGAGCTGGGCTTTCCGCCTTCTTGCTTGGTGGTTTGTATCCCTCAGGCTTTTATTGTGATGCCCACAGCGGGCATCTCGGAGGTCTGTTAGGGTTGGACACCCGTACGCGTCACTCATTCCCCAAAACGTGCACGGACAGCAACAGCCATCGTTGCTCTCGTTCATGAGCATGTTTTCGGAATATATACAAGGAAGGGCGATCGACGGCGACGATCGACGGAGCGACGGCGGCGCGATGATAGACGAAGGCGGCCCAAGGCCGCCCGATCGACCGACCGACCGACCGACCGACCGACCCAACCCTACCCTATACCCTACCCTACCCTACCCATAACCCAACCCAACCCAACGGCGACGAACGACGAAGCCACAGCGGCGCAATAGGGTTAGGGTTAGGGCTAGGGCTACGGCTACGGCTACGGCTAGGGTTAGGGTTATAGGTACAACAAAGATATCGTACCCTCTGTGCTCGATGGTGGCGACGACATTGATAGCCCGCCAGATAATGAGTCTCGACTCGAATTTGACGGAAACCTCTTGAAAATTATATGCACGCGCCCTCTGAAAATACTGTAGGCAAAAAGTGGTCGGTGTATTCCATCAAGATAGATAGGTCCTCCTCTATCTATCTATGTAGATGTGGTGTCCTACAGTAGACTACTAGTAGTCCAAGTGAGTCAAATAAACTAGACGAGGGTATTATGCGCTACCGTAGTTATTTGGCGTTGTCGGACGGTAAGATGTTCCGTCGGTTCCACACCCTCCGTCACCAGGAAGTCATCGGGAACACACGTGGCCCTCTGTTGCGTCATATTTTCCGCTGGCGTGTGCAACTACAGGCATACCACCCGCCAGTTTGAGACGCCTTGGCGCACACGTTCATGTATATATGTGTTGTCTCGCGTTTTGGTTTTTCCATGTGCCCTCCTCGTCTCGTCCCATATTTTTTTGAAGACATACATCCCATCACAGACTATGTACGTACCCGTTTTGTTGATGCAAAACAGACGGTCATGGACCAATACATGTGCAGCTGCCCTGCTGACGCCGTCAACAACGAACGACGGTCTCCCACGGAGAAGGTCTTTCAAGCGACGACAAAACACAAAACGAAGTTCCGAGGATGCCAACTGAACCACTCAGTCAGGCACCGGGAGATGATATACGCACGCACCTCTAAGATGGAAGTTCCTCTGGACGCCTCTCTTCGACTCTGCTATGTCCCTTCGCGTCTCTTGTGTTGCGTGGTCGCTCTTACGTTCTCTCGCAATGTTTGGTGGGGTCTTGTATGCATATTATGCATTTGTCGAGGCGCCAATCCGTGCACAGACCGATATGGTTGTTACAAAACTGAGACTTTTAGTAACGCCTGCCGGCGGAACCGGGGCCTACAATAGCTCAGTTGCAAAGGTAAGGTGGAGAGTTTGGGAGTGGGCCAGCCTTGAGGGTGCTATCATGCGCTGCACAAGTCTGTTCGTGTGGTTCAGAGTCTCTTCCGTACAGCAACCAAAACGATGAATAGACTACATGTTGTAGAGTATAGGTGCTCGCATTCTCCCAACCGGCACATCTTTTGTCCACACTTACCACGTGCTTGTGGGTATCACCGTATGCACCAACGGCAACAAAATAGTGTATACATGTCCCTACGGCGAACGCCTCGCTGCATACTTACCCCTTTTGAAGTTCCTTGCTGCTGTTTTTCAACATGGAGAGCTTGATTGTAGTCTACATTTACCTCCAGTCGTTTAGCTAAATTCCTATTCTCCCGCAATCTACGACTGAATCTCCGTAGATTCGTACATGGCTACTGCCGTAACCATTGCAATTCTACGACGCTACACGCGGAGATATGACTATATGACTGATACACTCATACACTGGCACACCGATCCGGAACATGGTTAAGTTCTTTGGTCCGGCGGCAGCAGACGGAGCGACGGAGCTTCCGCAAGCACGCGACTCCTCGCATGCACACAACTACGACGCATCAATACGAACGGTACTTCGTAGCCGTGTGAATCAAGTGAGAAAACTCATGCGCCATCACCACCACACATTCCAAACAACATTGGGTACAGAAAAGCCACAAGGACGCGAGTTGTTAGATTCGTATCGACCGCAATACCCGCATTGACCAGAGTGCGACATACGTCCGTCTTTGTAGGCTAGTCGGACAAAACGTGCGGGTTTAATTTGAGTACGGTAGGGTACCGAGAGCATAAAAAGATGTTCTAAGTATCAAGTTGGCCCTGGCCGCCTGAAGACCTCTTTCGGAAGGTGTAGTCTATGCAGCTGCTAAAACGCAGCATTTTTCTGCTGCCCCAAAGTCATCGAGAACGTAAGAACGAATACCTGGCACGTCGCTCTCGCTGCAGCTTAGCTGCGCAACGTGTAAAGCAATGTCCTTTAAAAAGCAGTTGTCCGGGCCTCTCGCCTCAAGTCGCTTCTTGTAGACACATTTTTTTCACATGTATTCATCTTCTAAGCACAACTCCACACTTACGAGCCAGTGACATCTTTCCCATAAGGATGGTTCGTGGATTAGCAGTCTTGCAAGAATCGGCATTTCAACCTCTGCCATCACGAACAAGACCCTAAGAATCAATTTCGTGGCGCCTGGTGAATCTCTGCGTAGGATTTTCACCTCCGCGAGCCTCAGAAAGTGATCGATCGAACTCGAGCCAAGAACAAACAAGTCACGGCCACGGGCATGCCACGTGCCCCTTTTCGACATCAACCCGACCTCTCCCTCTCGGCGCTACGGGACTGTTGGGCCTAGCTGGCTTTGGTGGGCACGTAGGAGGCGATAGCGTCCTCTAGCTTTTCCTTGGCGTTCGCCAGAAGACCCTCATCGCGTGCCTGCAGTAGCAACCCACCAGGACAGAAAAAAAAAGCGAACCAGAGAAAAAACAAGACGGCGGAGGGAGGGCCGGGAGGGCGGAATCGGTTAGAAGAAAGTGGCTTTCGGACCAATGTCACAATAACACCATCACCAAATGCCCGCTGTACCAATTACCAACTACGATGACGTTGAACAACGCCCCTGCAACACAAAAACAAGAGCAGATTCACCAAAAGAAAAGGGTCAAGGCTAACACACGGCAGCGGGCGGGTGCAACCACAACACGACCATGACGCCAAGCCTTGACTGACCTCCATGCTCATGAAGAGGCGGCTCTCCTCCTTGGCGAAGCCGACCGCCTTGAGTAAGGCCACGCCGCCGATGCAGGTGGCCACGCGGTTCTTGAAGGCGTTGTTGTCCAGGTTAATGGAACGGAACTTCTCCTCCTACGGTACGGAACAAACGCAAAAAAAAAAAAGGATGCGGCATAGCGAACATGGAACGGAGGCGAACAGTAAAACAAAATTGAGTCCGGGTGGGTGGATAACACAAAGGGCACGCAACAGTCGATCGACTAAAATTTTTTCCCAAATCGAGAAGCCAGCGGGTGTGTAGCGTACAAAAGGAGCGCCCGTTCGCTAATTACTCAGGTTGATTTCACCCAAGTTGCCAGTGAGAATCCACAGCAGCAACTCCTCCCACACAGAACACTCAGCTCCATGTGGCAGTGGGGTCGCTGGCGAAAGCAGCCAAACAAGCTTGTGCTGCTGCAGTACGCACGCGTCGAACGTGTCATCAGTACATACCTCGGGTTTAGTGAGCGCATTCTTGATGTACGCCAGGCAAGTCTTCATGGCCGTGCCCCCGAGGCCCGCCACCGTCTGCCGCGCCAGCATGTCCACCGCCTTCTCCATCTTTTCCTCCGACTTCTCCGCCTTCACAGCCGGCTGTGGCAGCGTGACGTTGCAGTAGTGGGTACAGGGGGCAGGTGGTGGGAGGGGGTGTACTCATGAACACATTCCGTAGTCGTTAGACCATTGGCCTCGCATACGTTGGTGGGTAGAGGGGGCACGCGTGGGGGCTATCTAGAGTTAAAGGTGGGACGACCCTGCAGCTCCACGTGCATGCAGGGATACTATAACCAATGCCGAAAAAAAAACGACGTGGTACGCCACTGATTCCCACCACCGTTTAAGCATCCGCTACGTGAAGGTTTGTCTCTGAATTCCCCGTTTGGAAAGGTGCAAAGTCAGTATAGATCAGAAGGGCTCCGCCAAACTAGTCTGGAACGGGGGCGGTGCGTACTGGCTTCGCACCATGCGCGATGGAAACAAGACGTCATGTGCCCATACGTGCGCCGCACGAACCTAGGTCGGGGCACCTCCGGTTGTGCCCACCGTGCGAGGAATTGCTCGGGGGGGGGCTGGGAGTCGTGTCTCCTACCATGCAGCTCAGTGATGCTCGCGGTTCCTTCACGGGCTGCACACCCAACTTTCGAACAACAACACATGCACGGATTATCCACTTCGTGTGCATGTGCCCACGAAAAACGAAAGGAATGAGACGGACAGACATAACTATGCATACATGTCCTCCTACCTTTCGCAGACACATGGGCCGCTTGATATTCTGCACGGCCAAAAAACACTCCGAGGGGCGTTGAGTCAAAAGGAAAACAGGGGGGACCCTGAAAAGCAAGCCCCCACCTGTGAGACAACCACACACAGACAGCAGCACACCCACATGACCCACCTGTTCCTCCTCGGAGGGCCCTGCAGCATCAGCTGGTGCCGCGCCCCCCGCCCCTGCCCCTCCCGCCGCGCTAGGGCCGCCGTACACCCCCTGCGCAGCGGCGGGCTTGTAGCCGTCCACACCGAGCTTGGTGGAGAGCTTCCCTCCCCTCGCCTTGCGTTCGGCCTTGTCCTTGGCGATCTCCGCCTTCAGGCGTGCTCGCTCTTGGTCGAACGCCTGCTTCTCCTGTTTGGTTGATCGAGCGCGCGGGGGGGGGGCGAGGGGGGGACGCACGCAGTAGTCGTTAGACCATTGACGGCGCATCTAAACAATGCCGGGACGGGGCGATATGCCGGGTTTTCGCGATGCGGGGGGGGAGAAGGCGCAATGGCGCGCAACAGCCATGTGCCAATGCAAACAGGGTGGGCGGGGGATTTCGCGCGCGCGTGCTGAGCTTACCAAAAGCGACTGCATTGTTTCTACTGGCAAACAAGAAGATAACTCAAAGTAAACGTGCAAAGGGGATCGGTGAGGTGCCGCGCACTCGCTCTCCAGCTCGAACGCAACTCTTACGTCCTCTCACTCTCTCACAGAACGACGGGGGGCAAACACCTTAGAAAAATCTGCTGAACGGGGTTAGCTTCTGGGCGACGAAAAGAACGTGATTGGTTTACGGCTTGGCAGTGGGCGCGTGCGCCTCGTTTCTTCCCGCCACACTTTGTAGAGCTCTCTCGCATGAAATCGCCTACTCCCTACGTAAACACCGGTCACGGTGATCGAGGTCAAACTTGCTGAGGGCTCTGCTACGGCGCAAGGCACGGGGAAAGACCGGGCAAAAACTTGCCCACGCACCCCACTACAGGTGCTCTTACTATTATAGTCCTCTTTGCAAGCCTGGGCGGTCAAGACCTGTCGCGGTTCTTCCCTGCTGCCTGTGTAAGAACACGTCGTCTATTGGCCGGAAGCATACATACGGCTTGTGTCCCGGTGTCCTCAATCTCTCGACACAGCAGCCAGTATTTACGGTACCTTCCTTATACGGGCAATCTCGTTCTTGCGCGCGATAGCCTGCATTTCCTCCTTCGTCTTGGCAGCCTCCTTGCCCATCGTACGCCTCGCTTTCTCTCGCTGTGCGACAAAAAAAGGTACACACGGGACACACATTGCACGGATAGAGAAAAAAAGATAAATGAGAAAAAGGTACTGTACGTACATGCGACGGAGAGGATGAAAGAGAGCACAAGGATGAGAAAAACGTGCCTGCTGCAAGGGGGCCGAAGACAGGCAAAAGACGTCGTACAGCAGTATTGATAGGGTTGGGCACAAAACAGCTTCAGAAGACCCAGCGCAGCTGGCACCCCCTCATCTCTCTCTCTCTTTCTCGCACATCCAAAGGTGTCGGTAGGAAACGAACGATCAATCGTGCTCACGTCTCAGCACAAAGGGTCCTTCGGGACTTCCGAACATTTAAAGTCATGCGCCGTTTGATACAGATCCCCCATAGTATTGCTTGCGATCGGACAGCATTGGAGGAAAACAAAAGAGTGATGTAGGTTCTCGAGCAATAAAATGGAGGCCGAATCGCGGGAGGAAATGGGCACCTTCTCTCACGTATTTCAACATGACCACGTTTTGCGCCCACGGCAGCCCTGCGAGCGATGTCAGAGCAAAGATACTTCGATCATGACCAAAATCAGAAGCAATACTTGTCAGGCCCATTTTTCACACCCGGGCTGTTGCATTCGGTGTAAAATCTTCCTCTCTTATGCCTTTGCTACGCATTCAAATACATGGAAGCGCCGCCGATTGCTGCCACAACTATCACACCCTGCTTCTATTTGTGAAAACAAGAACGAGCCCCCGTCTCCGCCCTGTCGTGAATTGTGACACCAGAACAAATCACAAGCACGCACGCTTGTGTGGCATTGCTCTCTCCGTGTAACCTCGGCTGGTGCGTCCAGAAATCGCATCCAAAGGTGACAAAAACCCCGACGTCAAGAATGAATGCGATGACATAACAAACACATGCACACAAAATCTAGATGTTTACTGGTCAAGTGGTTAGCGCGGTCGATGCAAAAAATAAAAAAATAAAACACATACAGCGCGAGTTGGGGCTAATTCAAAACACACCCGCGCACACGCACACGACCACACACGAACCTTGACGTGGTCGACCTTCTCCTCCTCCCCTCTGGCTGCCCTCCTCTCGGCGATGATCGCCTTCATCCTCGCCAGCTTCGCCTCCTTCTCCTCGGGGGTCAGGGCCTTCACCTCCTCGGTGCTCTCGCTGAAATTGTCGTGGGAAGTCTGTCGGGGGGCAGGGCAACAGCGACACAAGAAGGATCGCAAGAAAAAAAACGAAAAAAAAAACGCGCGCGAGTGACGCCATAGAAAACACCGACGATACATGTGTCCAAGGAAACGGTTCGTTGTGTAAGGATCGGCAAAAAACACAGGCGACGGGCGACGAGGCAGGGTACGGGCAACTGCTTGTGCAGACAACACCAAAAACAGGTTGTTCACACGCTGCACGACACCCCGAATCTCGGTAAAAACAAGGGTTGGGGAATCGAAAAGAATGTCCTCGATAGGGCCTTTCGATAGTCGAGAATCAGGGAAGCTGTAAGCGAATGGCTGTCGTGAACGCTGTCGCAGCTGCACTCGTGTCCGAGAGGAGACGCTACCGACGAAAAAAGAAAAAGACGCAGTCCGAAGACAATGTGTTCGCCGACCACTTCTTCCACAAAAAACCGTGAGAACTTAAAGCACACACCCCGAGGAACCCATATACTTTTCCTTGTGGCTTTAGCTGGAGCATGCGAAGAGTAGTTCGGTCTCAAGAATCCATAATAGACGGGGACTAAACTACCGGGGGTGTCGCGACACGCCGGCTGATCGACAACACACCCACAACGCTTTCCCCCCGGTTCTATGCGCATTCCTCAGGTGTCAGCGGGTTGAATACGCCGGCAAACCGGGAAAATTCAGTTTTCTGGGGCCTAGCATTTGGTCGCCATTGTTGCGGAAGCACTCCCCGAGGTCGCAGTTTTCTCCCGCCCCCCCCTCCCCCAAAGAGGGCGGGAAAGCGGACGTACTGCTTCTTCCTGGACGTGAAAAAGGCATACGATACCGTATGGAGAAATGGGCTGTGGAAACAATTGTCCAAGTACGGGATCAAGGGGAAAATGTGGAGGGTGCTGAAGAAGATGACAGAGTGTACGAAAAGCGCGGTCATGCTAGACGGAGAACTGTCTAAATTCTTCGACATTGAGCAAGGGGTCCCACAAGGTTGCACGCTGTCCCCAACATTGTTCCAGGTGTTCATCAACGATCTGTTGGAAGTCGTAGAAGCAGTCCGGAAGGGAGTAAAAGTAGGGGACACGGAAACTTCGGTGTCAGGAATGCTGTTTGCGGATGACTTTGTTGGTATGTCGGACACCCCTGAGGGACTGCAACTGCAAATTGACGCGGCGAAGAAGTTTACTGATAAGTGGAGATTGTCTGCCAACGTTGCGAAGAGTGCCGTCATGGTATGCAACGAGGGCAGGGAGGAACCAGTAGAACATAGATGGAAGTGGGGGATCGAGGAGATTGCAGTAGTGGACCAGTACACATACCTCGGAGTAGAGATCGCAAAAGATTGCTCGTGGAATGCACACATGTCCAAGGTAGCGGAAAAGGGCAAAGCACGAGCAGGGAAGCTGCACCCAATACTCGCAAACCGGCACCTTGATACACGCATCAAACTGACGGTTTTGAAGAGCGTAATCGTACCGCCGCTAGAGTACGCCGGAGAAGTATGGGAAGGAAATAAGAAGGTAGTGAAAGAACTCGAGGCGGCGCAGATGAAAGCAGCGAAAATCATCCTAGGATGCTCCAAGCGCACAATTAATGCAGCAGTCAGGGCAGAATTGGGGATCCAATCCCTACGGTCGGGAAGAGACGTAAGGAAGCTGACATGCCAGTATCGCATGTGCGGGATGGGAGAGGAGAGGTTGCCGAGAATAGTATGGGAGGCGAAGTGGGCAAACAAAAAGAGGGGTAGACAACCCACGGAATGGGTCAAGGTTGTAGAGGACGTATGGAAGGGATTGGACATCGACGAAGATGAAACGCTGGAAACGGAGGGTCTACAGGGGTTCAAGAAGAAGATATCTGTTGCTTGTGCCGACAGAGAAGAACAGAATGTAAGGAAAGAATCCAACGATAAGGAGGGTCTTGAACTGTACGGAATGTTGAAAGAAGGAATAGGGTTCAAGGATTACCTACATGGACCAATGGATGCAGGGACAAAGCTTAAGATCAAATTCAGGACCGGGGACATAGGCCTTCGCGAACGTCGACGAAGACATAGGACGGTAGACGACGAAGACGACAAGTTCAAATGCGATTGCGGCTTCGAATGCGAAGACAGTGTTCATGTAGTCGCGGAATGTCCGTGGTACGAAGAGGAGAGGGAAGTGTACATGACTGAGCTGGGAAGAATACAAGGGACGTACAGGGAGATGTTTGAGGCATGGAATAGAGAGGAGAGGACGGTAGCGGTACTGGGGAGTAGGAAGTGGTTTGAAAAGGCGGGAAGTGACATCGGTAGGATAGACAAACTAGGGAAGACATTTTTGAGCCACCTTTGGCAAAGTAGGAAGGAACGATTGGCCATCGGTGATCGGTCCTGTGGGAACAATGCTCCGTCCTCTCGAGGACGCGTGGTCAATGGTCTAACCGCTAAGGCATGCAAAGCATAAGAGTACGTCCCCCACCCCCCCCCCAAGATGTGCAAGAAATTTTTGTGGAGTTTGTGGCAGAAACGTAAAGAGCTCCCAAATGTTGGTGGTGTCTCTAGTAGGTGTAGGAAAGGTGCTCCGTCTCGAAAGGGACGCGTGGTCAATGGTCAAATGACTACGGCAAGCAACAAATGAGTACGCCCCCCCCCCCCCTTGATACACGCATCCAAATTGACGGTTTTGAAAAACGTAATCCTACCGCCGCTGGAGTACGCCGGAGAAGTATGGGAAGGAAATAAGAAGGTAGTGAAAGAACTCGAGGCGGCGCAGATGAAAGCAGCGAAAATCATCCTAGGATGCTCCAAGCGCACAAGTAATGCAGCAGTCAGGGCAGAATTGGGGATCCAATCCCTACGGTCGGGAAGAGACGTAAGGAAGCTGACATGGCAGTACCGCATGTGCGGGATGGGAGAGGAGAGGTTGCCGAGAATAGTATGGGAGGCGAAGTGGGCAAACAAAAAGAGGGGTAGACAACCCACGGAATGGGTCAAGGTTGTAGAGGACGTATGGAAGGGATTGGACATCAACGAAGATGAAACGCTGGAAACGGAGGGTCTACAGGGGTTCAAGAAGAAGATATCTGTTGCTTGTGCCGACAGAGAAGAACAGAATCTAAGGAAAGAATCCAAGGATAAGGAGGGTCTAGAAGTGTACGGAATGTTGAAAGAAGGAATAGGGTTCAAGGATTACCTACATGGACCAATGGATGCAGGGACAAAGCTTAAGGTCAAATTCAGGACCGGGGACATAGGCCTTCGCGAACGTCGACGAAGACATAGGACGGTAGACGACGAAGACGACAAGTTCAAATGTGATTGCGGCTTCGAATGCGAAGACAGTGTTCATGTAGTCGCGGAATGTCCGTGGTACGAAAAGGAGAGGGAAGTGTACATGATTGAGCTGGGAAGAATACAAGGGACATACAGGGAGATGTTTGAGGCATGGAATAGAGAGGAGAGGACGGTAGCGGTACTGGGGAGTAGGAAGTGGTTTGAAAAGGCGGGAAGTGACATCGGTAGGATAGACAGACTAGGGAAGACATTTTTGAGCCACCTTTGGCAAAGTAGGAAGGAACGATTGGCCATCGGTGATCGGTCCTGTGGGAACAATGCTCCGTCCTCTCGAGGACGCGTGGTCAATGGTCTAACCGCTAAGGCATGCAAAGCATAAGAGTACGCCCCCCCCCCCCCCCCCACCCCC